GCCTGGCCCAATAGGGCCTGTCTATGGATCTCTCCCCACCAGCCAGGTGTTCTGCACATCCCTGCTCCTGGACCTAAGCTCATCACAGCGCACTCTCTCACACTGGGCGCCTATCCTGTACAATCCTGAGCTCTGATCCTTACATCAGAGGAAAACAAGATGACCACAGTAGCAACCAAACTGGCAGTACCCAAGTATCTGCCTACAAGCGGGCCGGTGAAACCAGGGAGGGCAGCAGCAGCTCAGGTCTGCATTAGCCAGAGGGCCACTCTGGGCTCAGCGATGTTGAGCCTTTGTCCCCAAATGCTTATATGCTGGAAAAGAAAATACACCCACTAAGCAGTCAAAGTTCCCTTTTTTAAGTTTAAGCCTGGGGCTGAGGGTATTCTAGGCCCTAAGGAACACTTGACCGGCACCCCATGATCCCTGCTGAAGGGCAGAGAGGAATTCAGTGTGTGCTATCTGGGATGGCAGGCAGCCTGTTCTCGGGGGCCTAGTCTCACCACGAGCCCAGAGGCTCCAGGTGGGACCACGCCACTCGGAGGCTTGCAGTGGCCAGAACCCCAGAGAAGAGCCTGGCTCCTTGCTGCCTTTGCATCTTCTGGCCCCAACCAGCTCTGAGACCTGGGACTGCCCAGCCCAAGAAGCTACAGCCCTATCTGTCCCTCTGCCCCAAATCTCTTAGACCACGGGAACCAAAAAGTGCAAAAAATAGGGTGGGTTTCCAGGTCACAGAAGGGCCTTGGGGGCCATCTGGGGACCCTACTAGGTGCCAGAGGCCAGGCACAGCTCAACTACAGGCTACTTCCGGCCTGAGGGCGCACGGAGTTGGTGGGAGGGGTGAGGAGGCGGGCGGGTTAGCCCTGTGCAGAAACATCAGTTGTGGTGTATGACTCTGACTCCACCCTCTGTTTACAGATAACTCTCTTCACTATTCCTAGGAGGAAAAAGAAGTGCACTCGGTACTTACCCGGAGAAGGCCGCTGCCCCAACCCCGTTCCTCCCGCTGACAGTGCTCTAGGCTGCCCAGGGTCCCCAGCCCCCCAGGACTCACCCTCATCCCTCCTGCTGCCCCACTTCCCCACAGAACTGCTCGCTAGCCCTGCGGAGCCCACACCTCCTTCACCAGGTCTCTCTGCTGCTCTCAGCCTCCCATCCCCTTGGGCCCCCACAGACCACCCCCAGATCCCTGCCGATTACAAAGGTACAGTGACAGGCAGCCTAGTAGGCCCAGGACACTCAGCCACCTCCAGGAACCCACCCCCTGAGAGGCGGCGAAAGAGCCCCAAAGCAAGTGGAAACCAGCCAGGGGCCCTGGTCCCTCCCTCTCAGGGCTCAGGCCCTGAGGAGTTCAGAGGCTGCCCAACTTCTGCCTGACTGGGGCCAGCGCCTCAGAGCCATGTTATTGTGCCATCTCATTGAGGTCATCACAGTGCCTGTGGCAACCTGCTCTTCACTGTCTGCCCCGCTGCCCCTTTTCTTTTCTGCTGAGAGATTGGCTGGACTGAGCCCAGCCACCCTCCTTGTCCCCACACCAATAAGCCAGTTGGTCAAACATGAGGATGGCCAGAAAAGAACCACAAGGCTCAAGATGACAATGCTGCTCTCTTAAGGGACTGCAGAGCCATTTCAGAAAAGCAGCTGCTGCTCAGAAACTGGACCAGACAGAGCCTCCGTGTGTTCTCAGGAGGGGCAGGCCAGGGAAAAGGCTAGACCCCAGGGATAAGCTGACAGTGCCCATGATTGGGGTGGGATCTGGCTCTAGGTCACATGGCTTAGAGATGCTTCTGAGCAGCATAGCTGTCTGAGGAAGCTGCAGTCAGCAGTCCAGAGACGTTGTGGCCATAGCTGGTGGGCATTCCTTCCAACCCAGAGCACCTCTGCACAGATCCCTTTCCAGCCCTCAGGTAGTTATGAGAGCAAGTAAATCCCAGACCCCGACATCCACCAGTGCCTGTCTTCTAGCATCATGCCACAGCTTCTGTCCGCGGTGAGCTGCAGGAAGGGCAGGGCCAAATGGAGGACCGAGACAAGCAAAGCAAAGAGCCCAGAGAACCTCTAGTGGTAGGCAGTGGGTTTACACCACTACCTACTTTAACCCATTTCTGAGCCAAGCTTTGACCCTGAGCCTTGAAAAACAAGCCTTTTACAATTTTTTATTTAATTTTATTGGTTGGGTTTTTTTTTCAACTTCTTCACTGTACATAGCCTGAGTCCAAAGAAAAAGGGCTGTGCACGTTCCCCAGTACACACCCTTCAAGAAAGCTTTTAGTTCCCACTTTAGCCACTGGTTTCTCAAGAGTCCAAAGATCACATCTTCTAGAGAGAAAAAGGACCATTGTAGTGTTCAAATATTTTTGTACTGTTAATACATCGTCATAGAATCAACTTTTTAAACACTGAGAATAAACATACTTTTTACTGGGTTTCCTTTTCAAAGCCTGACCCTGAGCAATAGGGGCTTTCAGTCACAGAGGAGTCTGACACTTTCCTTTCTCTGCAGCCACAGAACTTGCTTTGTTTCCTACAGTACATGTGTTTCCAAAATGTCTAGCTGCAGAAGCCAGGAATTACTCTTGTTATTATTCCGACAAGTTTTGGGCTTCGGCTCTACCCCAACCCCAAGAGCTGGGCTTTTCTGGGGGCAAAAGCTCCCATTCAAAAAAATCAGTGCAGTGCTCCCAGTGCTATAGAGAATAACCCTTAGCTTTGAAATCCCAGACTCTACTTTCTCCTAAAACATCTATCCCATTTTAAGTAAAATGATTCCAAATGAGTCTTCTAACCTGGTAATGAACTCCAAAGAAATGTTATTTTAATAGCATCCCCACCCCAAGGTGTGCCTATTAAGGCACTTTTAGTGTTTTTCATTCAAGAGCTCAAGTTTGAGCGACACACCTCCAACCTGCTTTTTAAACATGTTAAAGTATACAACGGTCTCATGAGACCTGCTGTGAAAGTAAAAGATGTTCAAAAACTCCCCAATAGGCCACTCAACCATCAGATCAAGTGTTGGGCTAGAAGTGCTTCCCAGTGGACAGCCATCCTCTCCTCTGGGCCAGAAGGTATCCTTCCTGTATTGTCATTTTTACTTCACGTTATAGTCTCTGGATTTTACATTTTTAAAGATGTGTATAAATAAAGCCATGTCCCAGAGCAGTGTCTATTTAGAAGTAGAACACTGGAAGTTGTAATTCTAGACTCTCCTCTGGGTGGGTGCTAGAGATCAGCCATTCCCTTGACATCTGTTCCATTTTAAAGAATTCCACTCTGGCTACTGGCCTACTTGTTTCAAAAACTACATTCTAACCAGGGCTTATGCAAGACCAGGCTGCTGCATCTGATTTGGTGTCTCTTTCAGAATACACTGGCACAAGAACAATGCACCCTCTGTAAGGGAGGGCAGAAGGGGGCTTTGGTAGCTTTGTAAAAATCAGACTAACCTCTTAAGCAGACTTCAAAGAAGAAACTCAAACCTTCCCAGATCACACCGATACATTCCTGAGGCCAGAGGGTGACTTAAGTTTGCAACCCCAAATAGCACACCAACCCCACCTCACAGCCAGCCAAGAGCCAACCCTGTGCAATTGCAGACACTTTCCCAAGACATCTGGGAGGCACGTGCTGCCTCCCTTCACAGCTCTTGGCCGCCTGTGCTTAGTAGATATGGTGAGGGCTCAGCCCAACAAGCTAGCAGGGATTCCCTGTGGCTAGGTTTTCTTGCTGAGCTGTCATTTTTGAATGGTTCCCTTGGTCTCGTGTTCCTTTTGGCTTGTGAGCCCCAAACTGGCTCCAAACACCACTGGTACACAGCTTTAGTTCATGTACAATATGCCTGGCTTGGAGGCTCCAAGCAGAGCAATAGAATGATTCTTTACATTTGGTTTCAGAGGAAAGTCATTGCTGCATCCAGTTCTAGGAAAAAACAGCACAGAAGGGGCAAGTCATAGTCATGTTCAACACCCATTTGCTCAGCCTATGCATCACGATAAAGACTTCCAAACTAGTTTATTAC